AGCCATCTAGACAAAGCTCAATATATAGAGGACAATTAATTGAGGTGTGTTTTGAATTAATTCTTAATTTATTGAAATAAATCTATTACTCTGAAGTGCTAATTTGTCTGACTCAGATTTTCAAGGAGATTTGTCACCTCAGCTGGCCTGGATGAGGATCACATATTTTTGCAAAGTCTACCAGAAGTGCAGCAATAGGTGTTCTTCTCTCCACAGTGAGTGATGAATCCCCCTGGCCTCCTGGTGATGGTATGGAACCTTAGAGCACAACTTCACAGCAGTAGCACTTCAGGCAATCAATAAGGTTGCTGCCACTCGAAGCCAAAAAATGCAAAGAGTGTTTTCTCTCCTCCATTCAGAAAAAAATTAAATTGTTGATCTTGCTCGGGTGGGCACGCCTAATCGTTTTCCCTTTCAATGTCGTTCATTATTAAGCTTTAAGGGTTAAGCAGTAATTCTCAATGATCACATGCTTTCTTTTCATTTCACTTTCCTTCCTTTCTTGGAAAGTAAAGTCATCAAAATGGTAGTACTTCACTCAAGCCCACGTCCAAGGCAAACCAGAAACCAAAAAAAATGTATGGATTTTAATGAAAGTGTATTATTTTTTTATAGTAAAATAGGTATTTTCCAAAAATTAGAGCTAATTCTATTAAAGAACTCTTTCTATGTCTGAATTACTTGCTTTCATGATTCTTTGGAAATATGCCACTTTATTCTTTTTAAGAATTAAGAATGTTACTAATATTCTTCAGAAATAGAACAATGGAAGATGGGAATTTGTGGCATTTGGCAATGAATGATAAAGCCTGTATGTTCTTGTTTCTGAGAACACAAAACAAACTCCATCATTCATTTAGGGCACAGCAAGGAACACAATTCAAAAAGAAAGAGGCAAAGGGCCTGCAACAGTAATATTGGTCTTGCCATTTCTTTTTTCAGCAAAAAATAGCAATAATTTATAAGGATGGGCTGTATATGAACATAAGAAATGCCATATCACAGCAAATAAATGTTCTATCCAGGACAATAATATTCTCTCAATGACAGTAGATGCCAGATGTTTCAGAAAAAGGAGCAAAGCCCCTACAAGGCAACTCATTCTGAAAAATGATTTTTTGATTTATGTAGCCTGAAAATGTATATTGCTTTCAGTATACTCCATCTTAAATTTTGCTGTTGTGCCGAGCCAGCAGCATACTGTTCTGAATATTGCTGTAGTTTGTTACAGAATATGCATATTTTGATCCTGCTAATTCTTGCTGTTTTCTTTATTATGATAGCATATTGTTGAAATTCAAAATAAATCTTTTGATATATGTATATGAGACAGCATTGTCATAGAAATGTCTGCCAGATTTTTGAAGACTCCAATATTGAAAACATGGTGATTGATATAATCTGAAAAGTATCTGAAAAAATTTGCAATTTTTGTCCCTCAGAATTGCTAACAGTATTTAGGAGAAAAAAAAGCTATACAAAAGTAACAAAAAACGAAGGTTTAATTTGACAGAAGATAGAATTTTACATTTTTTAAATAAAGATTCTATACAGTTGGATTTTAAGCCAAAAACATAAATATCTTTAGTTCAAGATGCATGTGGGGGAATACAAGATGATAAGATGAAATTTTTTCTTAAACATGACTAATTAATAGTCCACAAATTTTGTACTAGTATAAAGTATAATAAATATAAGCTACAAATGATAAATATAACTATAAATTTTGGTGGAACTACAGATTAATTTTTAAATAAATGTTATGCTGTATTTTCATGCAGCTCAGATTCTCAAATTTCTGCATCTCAAATCCTCAAGTAGTTTTCTTCCACTGGGAAAAAACCCAACTCTGTTCTGTTCGCATATAAGGAAGTATTCTTAAATTACCTGCAGGATTTTTTGAATATCAGTCCTATTGAGATTTCAAAATATCATTCTGATATACTCTTCTGTTACTTGTACCACATTCCTAGGCCAGTTCATTGGGAATTCCTTTAAACTTGGAGCAGTTGGAAAGTATAATGCATTGGATTTAACTGCAAGACATAAATTACTATAAATTATCTAAACAAGAACTGGCAATTCTTTAGAAACTTGATAGCTTAAGTAGAGAGCCAGATGGATTATATTAATTAATCCATACATAAATACATTTTTTGACTGTTAGTTAGTTGGTTGGTTGGTTGGCTGGTTGGTTGGTTGGTTGGGCGTTTTTTAATGCAACCTGTTACAAAAGCCAACCAATACAAGACTGACTAGCAAAAAAATGAGCTTACAGTCCTGCCCCTTCCAGAACTACAAATTTAGACTTTCTATAAAGGCCATTTCCCCATTGTTACTTCAGTGCACTGGTGTTAGCTTTCTACCATTCTGCATAAAAGCAGAATATAAAAATTCCAAAATACATGAATTGTCTTTGAAAGCTTCTTGAAAGCTTTCAAAGCACTGGTTGAAGTCATGTAATTGTAAAGTGTTACCAAAAGCAGTAGCAAAATTCTGACTGTTTGACACATCAGCCAGTCTATTTCTGAAAATGGAAGCACTTCTTTTTGTGTGATGATGATACTGTGATTATGTTTAGTTAATAAGTTAATAAGACATCCTATATGATTCACTGTATATACTTTATAAATCTCATTTTCCTGGGCTGAATTTTATTGTGATTTGGGGTTTTTTTTCTCAGTAGGAAATACATTGAGGTGAATTGAAATAACAGTCTTCAAGGAGGTTGTCAGTGAAGTTCTTGCAGTAAGGAAGGAATACTATATTTTCTTGTTTTTCTGTTGTTCATGGGGTGACAATTATGACCTTAAATGGCAGCAAAGGAGATAATGAAAAAATTTCTAATGACCAGAAAGTTAAACACTGGACTAGGTCACCTGGGAAGAGTGTGAACAATCTACTAGTGGAAAATCTTAAGGCTTGAGGCAAAGGTCTCAGGAATTTTTTCATTTTTTCACAGTCCAAGGTCACTATTCTGTTCCATTGTCCTCTTACATAACTTCTCAAACTATTTTTGGGTTAGTCTTTCTAACATCTATTTCAAACAGTGATTTTAAGGTTTGAAATAAATATGGTGTTTTGGTCTTTTTGGTTTTTGTTTTTTTAAATAAAGATACAAAATTTAAAAGAATAGAGAGCATCCAATTTACTTACAAGAAATTGTTTAGGTAAGCACTGTGTGCATCATTGAATAATATCAGTAGTTACAACCATTTTTACAAGAAATTGTATTTATATATAGTTACATTAAGAGTCTCATATTAATTGTGAGATTATTAGAGCAAAAGTTATTTGGTCATAATTTTGAATTCTGTGTTTTGCACAGAATAGTGTGTTGGGACTGGAATTACATGAAAAGTTTAGAAGAACTTAAGTTTTTTTCTGAGTGCTAATCACTCTTCTCAAGATGTTAATGAGTCACATGACTGATTCATTTTTATAGAAAACCACGGATGTTAATGATTATAAAAAATTAAAAACCAAAGAAAAGCAAACAGGTAAAGAAAGACAGAGATTTTTAAATTTATATAATTGATGCAAAAGATGGAAGGAGGAAATATTAATATCAAACCAGGAAGCAGAAGGCATTATATAATGTGATAAGCTGTCATTCTTCCCTTCATTTCAAATTGTTTTCCAGATCTTGAGATCAAGAGTTTATCCTTCAGAACCTCTGAGAAAATAGAATTGAAGTTTTTATAATGCATTTGATGAGATTTTAAATCATCATTTTCATTTCCCATGTGAGAAATAACACATTACTTTTCCAAGTAGTAAAAAACAGTGAAGCAAAATGAGACAGGAAAACGAGTCATGGCTACCTTTGCTGGGGAAATAGAGAAACTGCATTTGAGACAGAGGAGATGTCAAAATATAATGAGTACAGAAGAAAAGACATGGTCACAATGAAGGAATAATTTACAGTTCTCTAAAATTTTGAAACTGACCATTGTTGTCAACTGTGTCAGATATATACTATTTTCTAGGTTATTTTTGTCTGATTGAAAAAATAGTATTTGGGAGTAAAATAAAAAAATGCACCAGAGGAAAAAATGGAAAAACAAAATATAAAGTTTAAAAATATCATACTTTTTTTATTACAAATTATTCTTATAACATGTAGGCCATAGATGCATGTATCTCCCTTTCAGTTCCAGTTGTGATTCTCTCTTGCAGGTCAGATGGTATTTGAATCAAGTACTTATGTTACAAGTAAACTAAATTAGCAAGTTTTGCCTTTTTAACTTTATAATCCCTTAAGTTTGAGGAGCAACAAACACATCATCAATTTAAATTCAACCCTGAATCTTGTCTTTGCTGTAGCTGGCCTTCAAGGGACAGAGCAGAAATCGGGTGTGGGGGCATTATTTTTATTTATTGAATCTATTTTCTTGGTATTGCTATATAAATCACCCCCACCCCTGCAATTATGAAATACAGAAGTGATTTGTGGAAAACATATAGATATACAAATACACACAGGAATGAAAAACATATGCATATAAATATCTACCTCTGTCTCCATAAATAATCTGCAACAAGAAATAACACATTTTCCCAGTGGAATCTGAGGAATTAAAGGAAAAGTATTTAATTATTTTCTTAGATATAGCCAAGCTTCAACTCTGGTCCTGTCCACGTAGCAAATGCCACAGTTTGGCATATATAATTTGTGCCTCAACGCTATGCCTTAGATGACACAATCTTTTAAAATATATATTTTAAGTAACAATAATGAGCAACCGTTTTTCTGTAAGAGCTCTAGATTTCACAAGGAAATTGTAATATGTTCGTGACTTTCTCAGTCCCCTGATGTAACAATCCATCCAACTTGCTCACACTCCACTACCCTCCAGACAGGTTCGTATTAACAAGCTTGTCTATTGATCTTTTGAATGCAAAAGTACTACTGATGATATTGCTCAGGTTCCCTTATGCAACATTCTAACATTGTATCCTACATTCTAATGTTGAATTTCTGAACCTAAGCTTATAACCTATCTGATAGTGATTTTCATTGATTGTATTCCAAGAACAGACAAGACCTCAACTCCAAAAGACTGGAAAGCAAAGTCAGAGTGGGGATATAATTACTTGCTATAAATAAACTAGGGGGTAAACACTGGGGAAAGACAAAAACTAATTAAGCTGAAGGACAATGCTGGCACAAGAGTGCATGGGTATAAAACTGTCATGAAATAGATTTAGAATTGAAATTAGTTTAAAGTTGCTAACCATTAAATGACTAAGACTAAGAACCAGCCTTTCAATTAGAATAATAGAGAAAAAAAGTCTAGCTAGTTTTAAAATGGTGCTAAGGGGGAAAAACACTGTCTAGTTGTCTGCATTAACAGGAATCTAAATCCAATATCCAAACAACTTTCTCTCAGTTATTTGCCTCTAAATTCTCTGATTTTATACATCAATACACAATCTGTTCATGAGTTTGTGACAGTTTCAAAGTTTCACTTAAAGTTAGGCAGTCAACTAAATTCTGTTTCTTAGAATTTCATGTTATGTTTTTCTTGAAATCATAATAAATTGTCAACTGAATTCATTAATGCAGAGGTAAGCATGAAATGCTAATCATCTTTCATCATATATATTCAATCTTGCTTACAAAAGGATGGCCTTTGAAGAAAAAGGTTAGTTTTACTTCCTGTATTAATACTGATTGCCACTCCGAAATATTACTGCTATTGCAATATTCAAACAACTAGAAAAATATACTGTTTTTGTTGATTTTTTTTATTGTTGGAGTAATCTAGTGATAATGACTATCTGAAATTTAATCTAGACACAATTTCTTAAGTGTTTGGCAAGTAATTCTTAGAAAGGAGGGCAGCTATACTATTGAAAGGGTGTATTGCATTGCACAACTTCCAGAAATCAACAGCAAGATAAACAGGTGAGAAGAAAAAATCAGAAATAATTGGACATATACAAGCTACCCTAGTGCCATTCTTATTATTGAAAAGTTGTATTCTGTAAAGTCTGATACAGATTACTAAAGCCTGCATTTTCCTGTATCTAGCAGAACTCTGAAACATGGACCAGACCTGCATAAATAAGTCAATTACCTGATAATTCATACTTTTAATTAGCTTATTTTGCATATATTTATATCTCTTTCTATCCTGCTTTCTAAGACCATTTTAATTACAATTATTAATCAGTTAAATGCAAATTGACAAATATATTTACTATAATTGTTTGATGTCCCTGTTCCAAATTCAGTGAATTTTCTGGAAAAATCCAATGTTTTCCAAAACAGGTTTCACAAAATCAGAATTTTGAACACTCATGGGAGCAGAGTCTTAAACAATTTACCCAGAAGTCTTCATATCCATCTACACAAGTAATTTCATCCAACCAATCAGCAAAAATAATAGGAAGGATTCGATTTAATCAGCCATAATTAAATAAGGCAATTTGCAATTAGTCTGAAGAATTGAAATCATGAGTCACAGGTAGCACCTTTTTAAGGAGCATTAAATCTCCTTAACAAGGACTGAGAGCACTCAGCCTGCATTCCTTGTAAAAATAAACCCCTGCACTTTCTTTCATGTGCATCTTCCTGTCAACTGTTGCCAGAATGATTTTTGCTTTCATATGTTCTTATATTCTTTTCATATATATTTGCTGCTCTGTAACCTATTACTGTACTTGTAGCTAGTCCCAGCACTTTTCCTTACCTTTTCCCTAAGCAGAAAGACAAAACACATTCCAGAGCTCTAGGCCCTGGGGGGTACAAGGTCCTTATCCTTTCTTGGTTCTTCCTGGGAGCCAAGGTTGAAACTACCTCTTCAAGACACATATTCACAAAGTTTAGTTCCTATCTGAGGGGCAGGATTTAGAAAGGGATTGAACCTCACCACATATATCTCCAACTGGGGACTTTTGTTAACAAGTTATGCTTATTTGCAAAACTTATAAAACTGTACTCACCCTATGTGGGGATGCACATTTGGGCATTTTCCCCATCTGCCCCTTGAAGGTGTCCAATAAAGACCAGCCTTTATATCACCGTCTATAATAATATTATCTCAAAAGAGTGTTGTTTTATTTCTGGGTTCTTTAAGGCATCACAAGCTACAGAGATCTATCTGTCTGTTCATAGAACAGAGCAGGTACACACTGGTAAGCAAGAGTACAAAACTCTGATTATACAGCCCTTCACTGACCAAGGCCCAGGGCTTATCAGATTCCATCAAAGCAGTTGGTATCCTCTCGAGATTATGCCATAAGAAGCTCCCATCACCTCAGCAACTTTCACATATGATGCCTTAAAAAATATGACTTAGGCACAAGTCAAAAGTTAAGCAGAGACTTCTGAGGCTTTAGACCTATATTTATCACCAGCCCTTATCACAAGCTTTTTTGTTTACCATAACAGCTAGACTAGCTTTCTCAAACTTTCAGGTCTTTCATAAGCTATAGGCATCTAAATTTTTCTTCAGACTCCACTTGGGAAACTTTTTACTGTTTAGTAAAGGGTCAGAGAGTAGGAGCAGTTTTTGTAACCACCACTTTTCTTTAAAATCCTGAACAGAAAAATATCAATGAAGTCATCATTTATACTGTGTGGAAAGAAGATGCAAAACAGAGAGACAAACAATTTGAACTGCGGTTCCATTAGATTTGTGTGTCACAGAGACCAAGAAAAATGAAACAAGCTCCCAGCTGGGAAAACTTGTAATTGCAACCAGCCAGAACATTGAAACTGAGATAGCAAAACCACTAACAAGGGAAAAAGAAAATTTAAGTGACAAATAAAGGAAGTATTCTCATATGTATAACACGAGCTCCAGTAAATATAACAAAAATGTTAATCAGTAGCAGAATGTTAAACTGGCACTAAGAAAACATAAAAGTGATTATTACAATGACAAGTAAAACAGATAACGTAACAGAACAGAAATCTGCTTAGGTGAAAAAAAAGGAAAAGAATGAAAAGAAAAGAAAAAACAGAAGGAAAGACACAAGGGCAAAATTAAGAATGAAAATGTAAATCAGTAACAAAAATGCTCAAAGCAACCTGTTCCTCAAATTTCACCCTCAGTAAATGCAATCAAGACTGATGGTAACCACATAACAGAAGAATTCATACTGCACCAGGGATTCCATCAATATGCCTATCTATGCCCTCAGCATGTGTGACATTAAGATAATGCAATCTAAAAAAATAATACCCATTAAAGGAGAATAAAAACAAAGCTATGCAGTAATTTCGAACTGAGTCTGATTTGTGTCTTAGGACATTCTGTGTATTTTATCAAACAATGCTGTGCACCCTGACATGAGTTTCCCATATTCCATTGTAGTCACTCATTAATGCTATTAATTTATGCTTTTGTTAAAGCTAGGCAAGTAAAATGTTAATGAAAATTCTATCACTAGAAGTGCAACAGGCATATGACATTTCTGAAAAAATCAGAATGTATTTTCTCAACAAGGGGCTCAGTCAGACCAAAGGATTTGTAACTTAACAATATTATTGGATGACTTAAAAATAGTTTAGACTTTCAGTATAAACTCACTAGACTTGGAGCAATTACTTAATCTCTCAGTTATCTGCTCTGCCAGATTATACATAACGGGCTCAGGAGCATCATGAAGGTCAACAGTTCAACAGTTCTATTTTTTTCTTTTTTTTTTTTTTTTATTAGGTGTTTATTGATTTAATAAGCATAAAAAATTCACACTTGCATAGTTCATCTACTAATTCTAGTTACACTGCTGAATTGCATAGTCTGGTAAAGAAATGCAGTCATAAAGTTTAAAAAACAATTGCAACCATTATTTCATTTTGGTCAAATGTTCATGTGGCCACTGACAGGCTGCTTCTCGTGTGATAGAAGGAACTGCCTCGTAGATAATCCAAGATTTTCTTTAGCATTTCGAGTGCTTTTCCAATGAGTGGGAAACTGCACTGTCAAACCACAAGACACTTGTCCATGCAAAGGTTTCTTGAGGCCAGGAATTACACATATGGTCAGTGGAAATTAAGAACTTGAGACAAGACTGTGGTAAGGGACAGAAGCACAGAAGTGTCCTAGACTATAGGTGTAGATGATATCTTGAACTAAAAAGATGAGTTTCTAGGTGAAGAGACAATAGACTGAGGAGCTTTTTTTTTCACAGAATACTGTACACTGAAGAAAAAATCCTGAAGAAAACGTCAAAAAAAAGAGGATGTAAATGAGGGAACAGGAAGCTTGAATTCTCTCATCTAGAGTTCTCACACTGCAACAAGCAAATTAGTAATTTTGCAGACTGTGTGATGGAATAGGAAAAGACAATCAGACTCTCAATGGTCCCTATACAGTGTTTACCGGGGTTTTAAAACTCACAGATCCACAGGCCTTGTGATGTACAAAAGCTGAAAAATACATTTATATTCAAACGGAGGTGTTCAAACATTAGATCCCTTTTCACTGGATGTCCTCTCTTAAATATATCTTGTAAAGTTACTATATCCAGTCATCATTAACTGCAAGCAAACAGATATATATTTGTCTTAGAAGAGCTAATTTTTTTAAAAGCATACCTTTTTTTTTTTTTCCTTAAAAGTATTAGAAAAAGTGACCAGTACCTTGGTATCCAAATATAATGTATATGTTTTGCAATACAAAAAAAACAATTTCTAGATACAGATTTAGAGTTAGTTAAACAGCAACTTCTCTGTAAAACTTAAGACTCTCTTGCTTTTAATTTCTGTATTGCAAAAGTAAAAATAAAGACATGAAAACTGGGAAAAAATACGGCTCCACAAAATGGAGTTAATTACTGAAACGGTAGAAAAACAAAGAGTTGAAATTCCCTTTTAATCTCTGTGTTACAGCAATAAAATAATTGAAAACCCTTTATTTTTGGGTGGAGGAAGTGGTGGTAGGAATGACATCCCATGGGAACCCAAAAGTAGGAAATGAAATCTTCATGCCTAAATATAACTATCATTGCTATGATAAATAATTAACAGGAAATTATGCAAGTTTACA